TAATATAGTGTAATAGTTACAATAGTAGTAGTAATAATAAAAACCAGCCTTTTGAAAACCCAGTGCTATGCAGCGCTCCCTGTCACCACAAGGGAGCAGATGTGAGTCCAAGATGGTGTCACATGGAGAAGCCTTGGGTGATATTCACCCAAAGATCTCAGGTTCGAATCCCACCCTAAGGCATCGAGGAAGAAAAATCTGGCAATCTACTCCTGGTAAATAAGCCAGTAAAAATGCAAGGGAACTCAGTTTTACTCCAATATCCACAAAGTTGTCTTGAGTTTCAATTCACACAATGCCTCCTGGCGGAGCGGACATCCATCGACTTGACCAGGCTCCCCCACCCCCCCCCGAAGCTTATGCTCGAAGCTGATTTCCAAGGCTGCAGCTGTGGACTCCAGCCCTCCACCCCACCTCCACTCCCCGTGGCCAGGAGGCCATTTACCTCTGTAGTTTGCACCATAACAGGAAGACAAGGAAGAGGAAGAGGACAGCCACCAAGGTGGAGATGAGAACCACTTTGAAGAAGGGAGATTCGTCCATTAGACACATCCCTGGAAAAGACGGACAATGGCCACTGTGGGTTTGGGACTCACCATATTGCCACTGGTCCCTTTGGCAAAGCCAGCGTGGTCACAGCTTTCCAGGCTGTCCATCTGATCTTTGACCTGCAGGATGCAGAGATCAGAAGAAATAGACAGTGCCCAGGCCATCTCTGAAATAGATCACGGTGGACAATCCTGGATGGAGTGGGGGATGGCGCGGGAAATGTGCAACAAAACTCAGAATAAAAAAAGAAGGCCCACCCATGTTTATTGTAGCTTTGTTCACAATAACAGTTAGAAACAACCCAAGTGCCCATCAACAAATGGATGGATAAAGAAGCTGTGGTATATTCACACAATGGAATATTATACAGCACTGAAAAAACAAGGAACTCATACAATATTATGCAAAATGGGTGAGCCTGGAGGACATTATGCAGAGTGAAGTATATCATCGCAAAAAGACAAATACAGCATAGTTCCACGGTTGTAAAATGGGACTGACATCAGGGTTGGGAGGAGACTGAGAATGATGGGATAAATAATGTAGACTGCATTGAAACAGATGAGAAAGAGAACTGTTTAAAAGGGATATGTGATTAGGTATTACTGTCATGACAGGAGTCCAGAGTGAAGGCTGCATAGTGGAGCGGGAGGGATTGTATAACAATGAAAGAGTTTTCTTTTGCTTTTCAAAAAGTGAATTGGGAGGAAGGGGTGGACAGGGGTAAAAGTGCAACAATCAATGAATGACAATCCAAAGTCTCTGTAATTTTTCATTAAAATTAATAATTTTTTTTATTTTAAAAAAGGAGGCCATGCTTGCTGATTTGATAGAGGCCGGTGGAACCCCAGAACATATAACCCTTAATCACCCTTTATAAACTGGAGTGAGGCCCCAATCACTGAGCCGCCGCCGAGGACTCAGCTGCCTCCCCCTCGAGC